CTCCGTGCATGAATTTTATTGTGTGGATTGCCTAAACCGGTGGGGTGAAGAGTAGATAAAAATCTTAAATTGGGGGTTGATTTTGAAAACTAAATGTCTAGAAAAAAACAACAAAGGGCATAAAATTAATATGTGAGAATAAAACACTTCTTTTCATGCCTTTATGACTCGAGCAAGTAAGCCTGTAAGGATATTTCAAAATCTAGTGCCCTAAAGCCAACTGACCTGGGAGTCACCAGCCCAAAGCTTGATACATGGGTCATATAAAAAGCAAGAGGGAAAGAGGTTAATAAAAAGTCATCTGATCGAACATTTATAACTCGAATGAATAAGCCTGCAAAGGTTTAAAACCTGGTGCACTAAAGCCAATTGGTTTGGGAGTCACCGGCCTAAAGCTCGTTACATGCGTTATATAGAAAGCAAATGAGAAGGTGATAATAAAAAAAATCAAAAAAATTAGAGAAAAGTGAGAAAAAAATAAAAGAGAGACAATAACATGAAGAAAAGTCTTTGGACATTTGGTTGAAGAAACTATACCTTTGAGGAGAAGCAAGTAACCTAGTTTAATCTTGAGTGTCGAAGCAATCAAACTTAGGAGAGCCTTCACTTGTTGAAATGTAAACTTGTGATAGTAAGATTAATCCAAACTACGAGAGGGTGAGGACTACAGCTATGTAAATTCCTAATCTTAAAACACAACCCCCTGGATAATTGAGTGAAAAGAATAAGTTTGGGGGGTTGTGTATCTCTCGAGCGAGTAATGATACATTTGACCACTTGGGATTGGGACTCAAATTCATCATGAATCTGATATGTTGGCATGAATTCACACACACACGTCAATTTGCATTTAACAAGTAAAGGTTGATGTCATTTTTGCACTGATAAATTTTTATAAAGTCAAATACTCAATCCAATCCTGAGCCACAACAGGGTATTAAGTCATGTTTGTTCAGAATTAAGTCGCTATCTTGTTTGAGGATAAAACAATAGTTCAAGTTCGGGAGTTTTGATAATTGTGTTTTTGCACGCTTATTTAGGTCACATACATGACTTAATTACGAGCAAAATAATTTAATTGTGACTTAATTTCGTTACATTTGTGAATTGTAGAGAACACAGATGAACAAGGTGAAATTTAGGAGAAAAGACGCGAAAAATGACTAAAATGACGCAAAGTGAAAGTTCAAGGACCAAGGTGCAATTATCCAAAAGTTGACCCGATGAACAAATCAAGAAATTTATTAAGCCAAATGTCAATTAATGATATCTTGAGATGATGGAATGAAAAGAATGAAGAAAAGATGCCAAGAAGTCAAAGATTAAAATACAAGGACCAAAATGGACTTTTTCCATAGTTGGTAGCACCATGCAACCCTACCCTCTATCCGGCCGCATAGAAGCAAACCGAGAATTTTTTCTCAGTAAATGTTTACTCTATGCGACCGCATAGAGATGCTCTATGCGGTCGCATAGAGCAACTCGGAGGCAAAATTCGTAGCTTTCTTATTCTGCCGAAACTTTTATGGAAACAAGATTTTTAGGGTTCTATATAAATAAAAACTCGACCAGAACAAAGGAGACGCCGTTTTTACAAGAAAAAGGGAGATTTTGAAGGAGAAAACGAAGAGACAACAAAGGGAAAACATCGCGTCAAGTGAAGATTCGATTGAAACTTGATTCGGGTGATGACGTTTCTTCAACTATTTTTGTATTTTCTTATTTTTAGCATGTTAGGCTAGATTTTTCATTGCTAGGAGATCGATGAATCTTGCAATACTACGTTTGATTTTTGATTTGGATATTTGAAATATTTAAACGCATGTTCCGGAATTGAATGATTTATTACGTTTTTATTTTCATATTATTATTGTGCACGTAATTATATGATTTTGGTGGCCTATTTTTTGCATTCAAAAGAAGGAAAATATGTTCGATATAGTATAAATCATCATAAGGTCCGATAAGGGATAAAAATATACCTCCATGCCTTGTGTGAATTGTTGAATATTCATGAAATCATAATGCATTCCTGTATGTTAGTATTCGTCATAAAGATATAGTCGAATCACATATTGGTTTAGGTTTGGCATTGCTCGAGAGAGATTTCTAAATTGAAATAGGAATATTGATTCATCTTTTGTGGGACTGTGTGTCGAATTGCATGATTGAAAATTGAATGGGTATTACTTGAAAATTCGTGATCCTAGTGCGTTAGTAAATTCATTAATTCCATAAATTCTCGTAAATTGTGTTCAAGTCATTTTGCATTTAATATAATTCTCTCATTCATAATTGTATCAGAGTTCACATCTTCCTAAGTTAAATCATAATACATCAATTTTACTTTCGTGTTTTGATTAAGGTCATAATATGGTGATTTGAACTAATTCAATCCCTGTGGGATTGATACTTGGATTCATAATCCATTTTACTACTTGTTAACGAACCGTACACTTGCGGTAGTTTTTATTTTTAACAAATAATTTCGTGAACAGCCGACATCCCCATGCGAGTGGGGAGGTGGGCCCGTGTCAACCAACATGTAAACCTCCATGTACCCATAGCAAGATCCATAAACCACGGAAGGGGAACCCATACATCTGATGTGGGATTCAAACCCCTGTAAGTTCCCCTGGAACCACAAAGCTTCATATCATTCCTAACTACTTCATTCCATGTGAATTTCGACATCCATACATTCCAAGATTTTCTCCATTTCTGGTCTTTTTGCCGGTTCTTTCAACGCACTCCCTTTAACTTCTAAGATTGAGATCAGATGGTTTGTGATCTGATACATCAGTTCTTATCCCACTATATATTCATAATTAGTAAATTATCGTTGATTTTTATCCTACACTATATATTCTACTGTAACTTTTCGTTGATGCTCTTCTAATTTCAATCAGGAAATAGAAAGAACAGGCACAATCCCTGACCTGTAGTTCGGTGGTGACAGGGTACTCATCCATGTCAACATAGTTCTTGTTAATGGAATCCATTATGAGCTTATCGCACTCAGGCTCCATCCAAGTTGTGACAAAAGAAGCCAAGTTGAGGCGTGGGTTCCCATCCAGCATCAATTCATCGTTCACTATCTGATATGCCGCTTCCTTCGGGATCGACCCCTCTGGAATCTTGAACCTAAAACCCAAAAATTAAAATTTATATTCAGACACACCAAAACCTTGTGTGATATTACAAAGACGAACCTGGGGAGAGAAGTGCGGGCATATCTTGAAGCAAAAGTGCAGTGGAGGTACTCCTCGGAGTCTGACATAGTAGTAGTCACCACCATTTTCGTAAATTTCAGAGTTGAAACCTGATTTTGGTGGAGTAACGAAGAAAATTGAATTGGAAGGATGACGAGTAGAAGACGATAACGAATCAGTTAAATTAGTGGGATTGAAAAGTGACGTGACATGTAAAGGGTGTCTCCTCCTACTACGGCCATAAATAGGAGGTGGTGGTTACTTGCTGCGTGGCATCCGCAAGTGGCAGCGTGTCATAGAATGACGCGCTCCGGAGGGTGACACATGTTGGATGCCCATTCGACCAAAATGTTAAAATAATATATTTATCCGTTGGGAATTAATTCTTTTATACTCGACATCTCATTTATATAGACGAATTTTATTTTTTACACAGGTGTTATCTTATTTAATGTTACTAAAAAAATAATTTCCATCAATTTTTTTTTTAATTTACTCTTATTTATATTTGTACAATTTCAAGATTAAGTAAAAAAAATTGATTATAACTAAACAAACAAAATAAAACATTCGGCTTTGAGTGCTCGCCTCCACTCCAAATGTTCAATTTGTACGATAATAATTTTCAGCTCCAAGTCTTATTTCTTTTATCCATTCTATCTACAATTATTGACGAGGGTCATTCGTGAATGACTTTTATATGAAATTTCATAATATAAGTGTATTTTTCATATATATTTGAACTCCTATTCTTGATTATTTATTGTTAATTGAGCTGTGATCTATATAATTTTGGATAAAAATGTGTTAATTGTCGATTAATACTTGAATGCATTTGGATGCAGTTGACGTGGAGAAGATGAAATTGAAGTTAATTTTGAGCAATTGATGATCAATTTGATTGCATGTAATCAATATGAAGAGCTAAGAGAAAAATCGAAGGAGATTCACAAGTTTCAGGGAACTAAATCGAATATTTAAAAAGTTTGAGGATTAAATTGTAATCTTCAGAAAAAAATTTGATCAAAGTAATCGCAAGGAGGTAAAGTTGAACACATTAGAAAAAAATTTGATATATTAATTGTGATGCTTTGATACAAAGCACACATTCGTGCTTCTCTCATACTCCTTTGCTTGGGGTTGGAAAAAAAAATAAAAAATAAAATAAAATTATATATATATATATATA